CTTCGGGAGCTAAGGTAGTCTTTTTTGCAAGTGGTTTCTATGGTAAACACTTTGGTTGAAGTATGTCATGTTTACAACTGTGATGTTTCAGATAACTATCAAGGAATGCAGCAACGAGGATGCACAGTGTGCATTTGTTATAGATAAAATATTAGGAATTATTTCTGACAATTCATCTGCCAAATCTTCATTTGGCAGCATTGCTATTCTCTACCGGAGGCAGGCAAGTACCAATTAGAAAGAACAAACATTTTTTTCTTAAAAAAATACTGTGATCTTCCTAACTTTTTCATGGCTTTATGTTTTACAACAGGTGTCAGGAAAAATATTTCAAGTGGCATTCCGTGATAGAAAAATTCCATTCAACATTCATGGTGTGGCCTTCTATAGGAAAAAGGTAGACAATATACCTTTATTAATGTTTCATCTATTATACCTATGTTTATTATTCAGCAGTGATCAAAATAATTTTCATGAATATTCCACAACTATGAATAATGATGTAGCACTGGTGACTACCTTTTTGTGGCTTGAGTTCTCTTGATTTATTAGGCTTTGTTAGGATTGGTAGTGAGAGTACTCTTGAAGGTTAGTTTACATAACCTACCTCTTGCCTAAATTAAATGGGCAATGACCTCGGTCCTTGGTCTTTCCTAATATATATATGTAATGTGATATGTGATATTCCTTCACATGCATTCAACCGGTTATTGACTCGCAACACTATTAACAGGTGGTCAGGGCAATTATTGCTATGCTCAGAACAACCCTGCCTGGATGTGATAGTGCTTCATATCGACGAATATTTAAAGCTTTACTCCCTTTTGATAAAGATGAAAAGAAGAAGGTTCTGAATTTGTCTTATTTGAATTATTTATGGAGCCATAGTCCTATTTTTATCTTATACTTCTTCACTTCTTCTCTGTCAATAAAGGCCTTTCTGTTGATGTTTTTTATGGTCCAGATAATTGAACACATTGAGAAAGTTTCTGCTATAAGAAACTGTAGCTTTCTTTCTGCTGCAAGTGACATATTTGGTGCAAAAATATCTGGTACATTCAAAAGGTTTATTTTAGAACCCCATGCTCTCATACGTCTTAATGTCTTAATTTTACTATGTTTGTATTAATTTATGAAGAGCTACTATTGCACCATATCAAAATCTTATTGTAGTTTGATAATCACTTTGATTTGTGGTTAGAACATATTGTGATAGTTTCATCAAAATACCGTATTGTCATATCCTCAATCTTTGGCTTCTTTGTACAGTTTCATGTCTTCATTCCTTGGCTACTAAGCTGCATATTTACTTATAAATGATGTCTATTAGTACTTATTTCTGGATTGTGACTTACAACAGGCGTCAACTTACCCAAGGGCGCAAGGTGTTAATCACTCTTGACATGATTTCAAAGCTTGTTCACAGGGTAACACATAGTTCGGTTTTTACATGTATAATGATTTTTAATGAGTATCTTGATATTCAGGTCTTTTTTTTTTTTTTTGCAAAGATTTTCTATTTATATCACAGTAATATTGACTATCCTAGAGTATCTTTTCTAACAATGAAGGTGGCTCTCTGCATACAACTTTATCCATACTTGCCTAAATTGGTTTGAATGAAACTCTGGTAATTTTACTAGTTGATGCTTGCAGGAACAATCAATTTCAGCTGTCATTACTTCAGTGGCAAACATGATACCTCAGGTTAGTTATCTGAATCAAATATTAAGCACAATGCAGAAATGTTGGTGACAGAAACTATATGCATAATAATACTTAAAATAAATTGTCAGATAATTCTATCAATGGCCATCTGTTACCATAATTTGAAAATAAAATTTCTTGTGCCTTTGCATATGCTCTTCTGTCTTGTAGAAATACCTTCTTGAACAGCGGGCAGTGGTTGACGTGGATGGAAGGAAGTTACTTAATGAAGATAATGATCTTAGATCTGTAAGTAGACATTCTTCTTCTTCATGCACTTGTTATTGTAGTATTCACAAGTAATAATATGAGAAAGCTTCATAGTTAAGAAATCCTAGATGGAGAAACTGTGAGAGAAATCATCTCACGGGACCACATATTTATAGTATTCATAGTACAAAATTAGTTTTTGTACTACCATATATACATGGATTTCTAATTAATGGAGATCCTTCAGTCTATGCTTGATTGACTCTGAAAATGATCTTAGATCTATAAGTGCCTATTTCTTTCTTCATGCACTTCTTACTTCAATATTCACAAGTAATATTTATGAATATAAAGACTGGACTATTGTTTCTTTTGTTTGGACATAGATAGATTTGCCTCTTGTATCAAGGCCTTGTGTAAATGCATCTAAACTTTCTTGTGCAATGGTTCAGGTTCTTCAGTATTTGTTGGATGACGTATCTGATTTTTTGAGAATCCAAACTAATACTGTAGAAGAAGAAAGTGACTGTATAAAAGAAGGGAAAGGCTGTGCTAATGTTCTCAAAAGTTTTATTGATTACATATCCGAACGAGAGACAGAAAATTTCCGTGCCAGGAGACTTGAAAATAAAGATTCTGTTACCCTTACTACAATTCATCAGGTTTTCCCATTTATTCTAAATGCCACATTTCATTTTCTCATTGAATTTCACTCTTGCATAACTATATTTATGATTCTACTATTCTAGTGGCTTACTTTCTTCTTTTTTTATGTTTTATTTATGTGCATAGTCAAAAGGCTTAGAGTGGGATACAGTTTTCATTGTGAAGGTAATAATAAATAAATATTCGTTTTCCCTTTGATATTATGGATGTTTCATTGTTTCTCTATGCATATGGGCCATATGGCAATAGTGGATAAGTTTGACATTTGACATTTGACATTTGCTGCTGAAGATGATCTTTCATTGTTTCAAGATTTAATTTCTGTATGTTTTTTATTCTTGAAGTTAATAATGACTTATTCAATTTTTTTAATCCATAAACATGCATTTCGATAATCAAGTATGCGAAATACTGGTAAAATTATTGGTCATAATACTATCAAACATGACCACATATTTTGGTGTAGGCTTGGCTTATGAAAAGAAGGATGGACGTTTTAAAAGTGGAGTTGATTTTGCTTCACTTGTTTCAAGTGAAAAGATTCCCATGTTAATCTGTTTTCTTCCCAATTGGATGTCTGTCTTTCTGTTCCCTTCTTAATTTGCTTTGGACCAATATTTCAGGCAAATGATTCTGAGATTCCCTTGCTACATGAATTTAATGGAATTACAAATGAAAATGCCAACTCTTTAGAGGTAAGCCTACTCTAGTCTAGAAAATTATAATGATGGAAAGTAGTTTGGCTTAGGTTCAAGTTCAATGCATACTTATGTGTTCTGTTACTAAAACTTGTTTTTTGTTTTCACTACGACATTTTGACCTTTTTGCTTTACAAAATATTAGGAGGAGAGACGCTTACTTTACGTGGCAATGACTCGTGCCAGGAAAAAACTCTTTATTTTACATGTATTAATGGACTCGAATTGGCAGGTAGAGTACAAAAAAATTGTTTAACCTGATATGCACTGCTCTTTGATCGTTTCTGAAGTGTAATTGCACCTACTTTCAGGTTCTTCAACCATCACGCTTTTTAAAAGAAATTCCTCGACATCTATTGGAGGTCCAGGTGATATTTATTTCATGTTTTAGAATTCAGATAACATTATTATTACTCAGTATCTAATATTGCACTGGTTTAGGATCATATCCAATTCGGGGCTTCATCTTTTTGACAACACTTATTTTTCAATGTTGTAAAAACCCAAGGAATCCATGAATTTGCCCCTTACAGTAACTAAAGCATGTGTAATTTTTTATGCATTACTAGTTAGTGTATGATTTTTTTTATTTTTTATTTTCATTTTTCCACCTGTGGTTTAGCTCTTTTAACACTAAGCCACATCTAGAAAGAAATAAGTAAATAAAACTATCATACTGTGGCAAACTTCAAGCAAACATTTTGACTTTTGAGTATACATTTTTATTTTCTTTTGAGCAATACGATAAAGATCATGTCACTGATTTATTTATTTATTTATTTATTTATTTTTCTGTAGGGAGAGGAAAATTTAAGAAGTTCAAAAACAACTTATCAGCAACAAATGAAGGAAATACCTCAGATTGGTTCCCCAAAAAAGATGTTATCCTCTGACGATAACTCAAGGCTATACGATTCTTCCAATGATCCAGTGGATGAAGCACCCAAAGATTCAATTGAAACATGCAATTCTAACAATTTCCTAAGAAGGTCCTGTTAATATTTGATAATGACCATCACAGGAGAAACAATAAATACAGTGCTTTTGGACCACAATTTTCATTTTGTTTCTATATTATGGCTTTTCAGATTCAGCACAGAAGACCGTGCTGTGGTTTCCCATTTATTCCACAAGTGGGCGAAAAAGCCTGCATTTCAGGATCCAAAGAGGTTACTCAGTAAGGTGAAATTTCACTCATCTTTTGTGTTGCATTATCAGTTCCTCTTAATGTCATTGTTATGAATGTATGTTTACCTACATATGTTGTGTATCTCAAATGACGGCTTGTGAGTTATCTCATTCTGCTATAGGTAGGTTTTGTCATTGATGAGCGGCTGAGAGGCAAAAAGATCTCACATAAGGTTGTATTCCTTTCCTCACAGTTCTGGAATATCTCTTGCTTTTCCTACTCGGTTTCATTTTGTTCTAGATGGCTAATTTCAGCAACCTATCTTAGTATTGGCTCAATGACTTTGCCAGGATGTATTGTGTGCCTTGAAGTCTGACTTGGGGTGTGAGGAAGCTCTTCATTATGCTGAATATGTAAGTTCATCCTAAGTATTAGCAATTTAGCAGTCGCTCTATTTCCCCACTGCATCATTGACTTATGCACAAAGATAGATTCTGAAAATCAGAAAGTTTCTTTTTCAATCAGGTTCTGAAGTGGGAGCAAATCCCTGCTGACAAGCGTGCTTATTTGATGAGAGAAAAACAGGTTAAGATATCCCCCTGCAACCTCATCACAGTTTAAGAAACTTATCGTTTCAGCAACTTTCTGCAGTGCTACTGTTGTCTTCCTAAATGTCTTTTCTCACGTCTTTTAGGAACATTTCCAAAAACTGAGAGTTGAGAATGCAATGAGTTCATCAGAACCAACTCCTAAACAGGTACTAGTAGTTTTGTCAATTCATAGAAATAGTTTTCGAGTTGGGTGTTGAGTTTCTTACCCCCTATTTGATGCAGATCGCTTATCTTCAAAGTTTGGGGTGTACTGTGGCTCCTACATCTCGTCTCCATGCATCGCGTTTGATTGAAGAATACAAATCGCTGTAATGCCAACAGATCTAAACTGATTCTCAGGTACACTGATAGAGAAATACAAAATACAGTAAGAAAAGACTTGACAGGTAACTGATTCTCAAATATACTGAGTGATGTTTTTTACCAGCCTGGTGATCTTGAAATAGTATGTGTAAATGGCACAGTTTTGATCACATTCATTCAACTTTAATATATGAGTTGTTTTATCACACCACTGTATTGCCAGCCAGCATTTGATTTGGTCCGCAAACAGTTTATTAATTGCAAAATGCTCAAAATAACGTTGAAAAACTTTCTATAGACATACATTTTGACCAAAACATTTGTCCAGAATCTTTACATCTAGGAGCACTAGAGCTACATGAGATTCCCATTTAATCAAATGGGTCAATTCGTGGGTCATGCTCGCTTGCCATAGCCATCCCAGTACAAAGACATGTAGGGCACATGACCTGCAAAGTTAAGGATGATCAATAAATGTTGAACCATTCCTGTTCAAGCTTAATCTTTTGGTTGATAACTGATTTACTTCTATGAATAATCTTTTAGGTCACTTATCCCATATGAACAGAACCCATCATACAGCAGATTTAAGAAAACACACCCTTAAAGCAAAAGTAGACTTATACCTTCCCAGAACCCGAGCAGTTTGTGCATCTTTCTGTTTTAGGTGGAGATAGTGGCTGATCTCTACGATTAACTGTGGAGACAGGTTCGATAAGGACTAGTGATCCAGTGCTTGAACAGCGAGCACATGCAAGATACCCTGTGTGTTATAAACAAAGTTTCATAAGCACCAATTCACAGACATCTTCTGAGGGCAATATTTGTATCTTAATTTGAAAGCTGGAAATTTTTCTGTTTCATGATGAAAATCATCATACTGAAAGCGCACCTGTTCCTAAACAGTACTTGCACCTCTTATGCTCCTGCTGTTTCACATTGTTTATTTCAACTACCATCAAGGCAGAGATTACCCCAACTGCTCCACCGGAGAAGGATGCCACAATGGGGTCCACATCACTACAGCGTTTATAAATATTTTATGAATATAGGAGCACTAGATACTATCCTCAAACTAAATAGACCACACCATATGCCTCGTGATTTGCAGAAGGAAATTTACTCCATAAGTATTCATCCGGCAGGGTATTACCTTAATTGCATCGGAAGGTGCATGCTGCGAATGAAATCAGCGTACGATGTACCTCCTAAGCCCAATTTTAGTTCCAACTGAAATACACAACAGGAAGGCATCACGTGGGAGAATATAAGCTATAAGATTGAAACTTAGCTCGAACTTTTGGAACCTAGAATGATATTTTACTAACACGAATGCAAACTTACAGTAGGTGCTAGCAGTCCGCCAAAAAGCATAACTCCGGCTATGAGAGAGAAACAAGTGGCATAATATTGTTTAAGATTTGCGGATGTCTGCAAGCATATACATGTTAACCAAGTGCAGTGTACTTTAAAAGGGTAATCTCTTAATTCAAAAGTTAAAGACAGATGGTATTTAGATAACAAAGGTATGTTCGCAATTGCTACAAAAACATTCTTAGAGGTCAGAAATCTTACGAGAGGAGGCAAAAAAGGAATGAACGAAGGAAAATTCGGAAGTTCATTTTCTTGCTTTTCATTAAGAATCCCAAGCTCAGCATTCTTAATTCGTTGCTGTATTCTCAGCCTGCGGACCTACAAAAATGTTGAAGATATCAACTTTTAACAATAACATCCTGAACTATACTAGATTCAAACTGTCTGTGCCTAAATCATGAACACCCTCAACTTCTATAGTTCCATAAAAGAATAACTTTTTACAGGTAGTCGTGCTGCCCTGCCAAGTTGGACAGGTTCTTCGCTAATAGATGTTAATTGTTAGCTGATTGAGTTAGTAGGTTTAGGTAGTTGATAACATTAGTTGTTAGTTGATTAAATGCAAAATGACTTCCTCAAAAAACTGATAGCAGTTTTTTGAATTTTAACATTTTGGAGCAATAAAATGTTGGAAAAAACTAATTAATCAAACACTTTAATTTCTGATCCAGCAATCACTCTTTTGTGCTTACAGAAAATTAAAATTTGCTGGAGAAATTTACAAATTGCTTGATTGATTGGGTTACATGATAAAGCTTCAAATTCATTCGTTTTGATTGATTGCAGTTGCAGAGACTCACCTCTTCCATATGCAAAAATATTTTATTCCGGCGACTCCGAATATTGTCTTGAATTTCTTTCAATTCCATTTGAGCAAAGTCCTGCACTGTCTCAGGCCCTTCTATAATGCAAAACCTTCAAATCCCAAATAAAAATCAGTAAAGCTAACCGCTCCAGTTCTTCCTACTTTTTCCAAATAATAATAATAATAATAATCTGTGAGAAATTACGCGGAAGCGTTTTTATCGGGTGATTCGGTGTCGACGGATGAAGAAAAGGAGGAGGAATCGGCATCAGCGGCCATGGAACGCAACCTGACTCTGGATTTGAGCCTTCCATGAAGATGATACCGGGAACTGTGGAACGGCGAAGTGGAGAGATGAAACGGCGTCGTGGAGGACGAGAGCGACAAGATTCTACCTGAATATACCATTTCAGGGAAAAGGAGAAGAGCTCTGAGATTAACGTCGAGCTCAAGCTGTATATTCTGTTCTGTTGGTAAAATAAGAGAGAGAAAGAGACGAGACAAAGGAAGTATCAAACTTGAGTGCGGGTTCAGATGGTGGAGCATTTCGTGCTCAAATAAATTACTCCTTTTATCCCCTTCTTAAAATATTGTCACATTTGTCTACTTACTCTCTAAATTTTATTCTATGATGTGACGGACATCGATAAATTACTTTATATATATATAAATCTCAATACAAATAAATGTCTACATCAACATTTTGTGTGTGGGAGTAAAAATTGAGAGTAAAAAGGGAAATTTTATATGTACTCTCATTTTGTACTCACACACACAAAACCTTAATGTAAACACTTGTATTGTGACCCACATAAGAATTAGCTAATTAGAGTCTCTCACATGGACTAAAATTTAGAGAGTAATATTTGAGAGTACATATAATATAACTCGAGTAAAAGATGAAAATACACATGATATTTTCTCTTATAAAATTAATTCGAATTTTGTTCGGAACTCATCTACAGAGTTTGATTCATGTTGAGGAAAAAAAATTGGGCCAAGGCTTTTTAAGCTGGTACTTGAACTGCTAAATTTGTAATTGTATTAATTGTTTGCTTATCAACTGTATAACAATTTTATTACGGAGTATTTAAACGTTAATGTATTATAAATGCAGGCTATTTTGATTGTATCACGTGGTTGAAGAGAGAATGAACAAACTTTAGTTTCTTCTAAAATTCACATCTTTTTCTTTTATAGACAGTAGAGGCAACAACACTGGAGTTTTTCTCATGTATTTTATCTTTTTTTTTTTTTGGCAAGTATTTTATCTTTAATATTGTTATATATTAGCATGTAAATATTAGTAGTCTTGTTGTGAGCACTAGTGTACATACATTTGAAAATCTATAAGACAGTTGAGGTATATTTTGCGATTTATCTTCACTAGTATTAAGAGCAAGAGCGGTAAGAGCCTTTAAGAAGTACGAACATTAACTTTAGTTGTACACTATTAATTAATTCAAAATTGGATTACAAGACTCGGTTTTCAAATTTTATTTACAGAGAATCAAACTCTTTCCGATCACATAGCCAAGTTGGTAGGCGTTTGGCTTAGCTTGATGGTTCCAAACTATCTATTGATTTTCTTGGTTTGAGCTAGTCAACTATGAACGAGCCATGGTAAGTTCTATGTTTGACTTACCGCATGTAGTCTTTTGCCGATTAAAGTCACATCTTTGTAATCACATTCAGTCCATTATTGACTAAAATTACATATAATTACTTTTGGATAACAATTGTAGATTTTTTATTTTTTTTTTCGTAAATCAATGTATACTATAATTAAACATTTTGACATAGCGTGCACACAAATAGTTGTGTGAGAAATTAGTGGCTGTTGTCTGTTGAATTAGGTCATGGGACAAATTGGTTTAACTGATAAATAGATGTTTGTTTCTAAGGGTGTATTTGGTTCGCACATAGGAATCGGAATGAGTATTAAATATTTGGTAATGGTAATGGGTTTTGGTGAAAGTATTTAACATGTTTGGTAGTAGGGTGGAATGAGAATGATTACTAATAATAGTGCTTGAGAATGAATAAGGGAATGAAACCCTTATTTTATTTGGATATGAATTTTTCAATTGATGGGGTATTCGAAACCCATAGTAGTGTTCTTAAAACCTATCAACCAAACAACAACAATCACTTTCATACCCATTCCTATGTGCAAAACTCACCAACCAAACACACCCTAAGTCTTACCTTTGAACTCTGAAATAAATGGGAAGTGGACAGTTTGAGTGGAGATGCACTAATATACGGTACACATTGCTCTTGGTGTCTTAGGTGTGGGGCTCCCACCCATTAATGGTGAATGGATAAATTGGAATTTTTTTTCCATCGGGAATAAAAAAACTTGTCACTTTGATTGTGATTGGGTAACACATTCAATCCCATCTTATCATATAAAAAACTTCTAATAAAAATATGTTGTATGTGGTCCTCTAACAATATATGATTTTTTTCATAGACTTGACAATTTTCATGGTACATTTCTCTAGCTTCTAACCAAAAAATAGAACCGTCCATCAGTCTAACCTGACAGAATTGTGAAACAGTAAATTATAGTGACTTAATTTATGAGAGATTAGTCCCACACAGCTACACTACAGTTGGTGAGACTCGATCATGATTCTCTAGCTAATAGTCTTGTTTGCTGTGTTTTCTTGATGGCGTTATTACACGGAATCTAAAAACATTATATGTGCGAATCTAGGTAATATATCATATTTTTGTCTGTATTTTTAAGACTAATATGATTGTACATTAAGTTTAAAATATTGTACATCAAATTTTACCATGATAAAT